ATATTCTGCACTGAATTCAATAAATTTGAGTATGAAGGATATTCGTTCGCATCGTGACACTGACTTTTTAACCACAATTCTGCGAAAATTAATACAGTATAAATAGATAAGATATGTATGGTCATTTCTAAGTCCACACAATATGCGCTGGAATGACCGACTCATGCAGTTGTCGAATCAACTGATGGATTCGTCCGACGAGGAAATCGATGTCATCATAAGTACGGTAGCCCAAAAAGCCGTCCGCCAAGCCGCAGCTGTAGACTCACGGTCATGGAGCGGGTCTCGTCGCGGTCGTCAGCCAAACATTGATCGAAACCGGACTCGTGGGCACCAGCAGATTGTTGACGACTACTTTGGAGAGAACGGGAAACCATCTACGTACACAGAAGGACAGTTCCGCCGCCGGTTTCGTATGAATCGAGTACTCTTTATTCGGATCATGGATACCGTGGCTGCTGCGGATACATACTTTGTCCAAAAACCAGACGCATTCGGAAAGTTAGGTAAGCATGGCATGACATATAAGCTTAAAGATAATATAGGTCTGTCACCATTACAGAAGTGCACTGCGTCCATTCGTATGCTGGCGTATGGCGTCTGCGCTGACTCGACCGACGACTACTGTCGCCTTGGTGAATCAACAGCCATCGAATCCATGAAGCGCTTTGCAAGGGCTGTCGTCTCAGAGTTCGGCCCCGTGTACCTGCGCGAGCCGAATGAAGAGGATGTCGAAAAACATCTCAACCTGAACGAAAGTCGTGGGTTCCCTGGGATGTTTGGTTCAATCGATTGCACCCACTGGGAGTGGAAAAACTGCCCTGTTGCCTGGCAAGGCCAATATCAAGACCGCAACGGGAAGCGGTCTATGATATTGGAAGCAGTTGCGACGCAAGATCTGTGGATTTGGCATGCGTTTCTGGGGGTTCCAGGGTCGACATTAATGTTTTGGACCGTTCGACGCTGATGGTGAAACTGTCTAAACTTGCAACTTCCAGTGATGGATTTTCGGTAAGTACATTTTAGCACTATATTTTTGGTTGCTTTACTCGTACAAATAAATACATATCTTGTCTCTATTATTTACAAATAAATACATATTTTGTCTAATATTTTTTCTTGCATTAATCGTACAATTTTGTGTATTAGTTCAATGGGATTTCGTTCGACATGTTTTATCTCTTGGCCGATGGAATTTATCCATCACACTCGACGTTTCAGAAAAGTCTGAGCAGTCCTTCAACGGAGAAGGAAAAGTACTATTGTGAACGACATGAAAGTGTTCGAAAGGATGTCGAACGTTGTTTTGGGGTCTTGTTTGGACGGTTTCACATTCTGGCCAATCCCAGCCAATTGTGGAGTCGTGACCACATGCGCGTCGTGTGGCTTGCTTGCATTTGTTTGCACAACATGATCATCAAGGACGACAACACCATGGAACACCACCCCAATGCATCGGAATGGGATAACGACCTGGAGCGCCGTCGACCTCAGCAGCCATTGTCCTTCGACGGTTATTTGCATCAACGTTCAGCCATGGTCGACTCCGATGCACATGATCTCCTGCGTCAAAGCATCATCGAACATTTGTGGACAGAGCGTGGTAACATGTAGAAAAGAACCCTGTTAAAAATTGCAATTACGAAATCAATTATCAACTTACTAGGTTAGTTGAAGAGAAAAAATCGAATTTAAACATTGCAATTAGCAAATCAATTATCAATTTACTAGATTAGTTGAAGACGTTTCTAGTTTGATTGCGAATCAGCTGATTTTTGCATACGACTAGCAGCACGCAATTCGAGCTCTGCAATTACCTCAGCTTGCTGTAGCTCTAAAAATCGAAGGGCCATAGGCGTCAGGTTTTCCGTCGGTGTTGTGAACAATTGGAGATTCGCAACGATGGATTGCGCATTTGCTTTGCGATCAATTGCAGCAGCGAGCCCACCCATGTCAACACTTGCTTGAGGCATATCCTCTGTACTCAAACGTTTGCGCTTCGCTGCCTTCGCTCCTTGCGGACGGCCTTCCGAAGATTCCAAATTGACTGTCGAAGACAACAATTTGGAGCCGTCCAAATTAATGTCTTCGCCAGTCAATTTAGAATGCTTGGTTGATTTCTTGATGCCGAAGCCGTTTTCCCGATACGCTTCCCATTTTGGCTTGTCGCGCAGGACTCGCCAGCACCCCATGTACTTGAAATTGCGTCCACTGCCCGTCTTGGAAGTGGTGGTCTTGAATTAGAGTGCCCTTGCCGCATCTTCGACGTCGTCGATGTTCGTTCCACTTGCTTGAAGGTCTTGTACTTGGGTGTAGCAACCAGTGAACTTGCTGACAGCATGCTTGATGTCTGCAAACTTTGATTCGAGAGCCCTTGCCGTGCGTTGCGGGCGGCCTTCTGGCTTGATCTCGTTGAAACGATGGGTTACTGTGTCCCAGAATGTTGTCGAGGTTTGGCCACTACCCTTGATCGGATCCTCAGGCGCTGCTACCCATGCCTTGGACAGTAACTCGTTCTCCATGTCGTTCATCCACAACGACATCGTCGTCCAGCAATTGAAAAGTATTTTGTGTAGACTATTTTGTATACCATACAAATGTCTTGTTATTAGATTAATTCGGCGCAAAACCTCGACTCGGAGTTTTTAGTGAAAACTCCGTGTGGAATGGTCAAGACTCAGGGTCCGGGGTTCTGAAACTCAGTTTAAGTGTCGAATTCAGTGTTGGGGTGGGGGTAAATTCAGGGTCAAAATATCATCGACACTGAGTAATATTCAGTATCAGGGTCAAACTCCGTGTACGGTGGAGATGCTCTAATAAACCGATCTGGAAATGGCAAGTTAGACTCCATCAATTTACTACTCGGAGGAATTACCACGAATTACTACCAGCAATGGTCATCAGCTTACATAGAATACTGTTTTTAAACAGTAAGTATTCACGTTGGTACGATTAACGCTGTACAACGTCGTACTAGTATGCATTTGTAACGGTGTTTAACGTTAACGTTAGAATTGTACTACTTTACTGTTAGAATTGTACAGTGTAGTACGTAGTACTTTAGAATTGTACAGTACTTATCGTAGCAAGCAATTAGTCCAACCCACTTACTCAGGGACGTTTTAAGTCAATAATACCAAATTCCCTGATTTAGTGGGCATTTGACCAATTGAGTGGATGTCCCACTCACTCGGGGAATTGGTCATCGAAACTAGATTGAGTGATACTTCTAGCATGGTACTGTTGCTTGTACTTGCTTGACAATAATATTACTTCGAAGTACTAGTATTAATGCTATTAACAGTATATGCTCTGTACCAGGAACGTTAACTCCCGTCCTAGCGGGTAACGTTATCTACCGTTGGCGAAGTAGCGGAGGACGTACAGGGGGCGACGGATTTTAAGGGACACTTGCTACTTCGAATTTGCCAATTCATCGGAAAATGATTGGTTGAATAACTTCGAACTTCGATGGAAATCTCAATTTTAAGCCAATCACGTTATGACTTTCACAAATTCAAATCTTATTGGCTATAATATTCTGTGATATGTGACTTCGGTGTCCAAAGTTTGCATGAGTACTTACTTCTACGTACTGTCCGTTTGGGCGGAAGGAATGCAAGAATGGTTTCTCCCATAACTTTTACCCTAGGAGGTGTTTCCTCGATCCAAAGGTATATTTGAATTCAGGAGTTTAACGTGCAGTACGTGAGGGGTTTTATTTTGCCTGGAAACGAATACAACTCCACCAGGTTTGAAATGAAGTTTCAGCACCTAATGGAACGTACTTAATGCAAACGCATTTTTAAAACAGGTATATCGAAGTATACTATACTTAAGTCATAAAATAAAATAAAAGTTAAATAATCTATAGTATTACTATATCAGAGGTACAAATTATTAAAAGTATTGAGCAAATATAACTATTTAAATAGTCTACTTCATTAAAATACTACGTTTCATCGCTGAAATCGTTGCTTGCGAACGCAGAGCACAGTTTTGTAGTTGGGCCTTCAAGCTTCAGCAAGCAGAATATTTGATCCAAGACGATGAGATTAAAAAAAACTGCGTTAAAATCGGCCCAGTGGAAAATTTCTTTGCATCCGACTCGCCCAAACGGACAGTATGGGCATACTTCCGTGACACTTTTTGAGGACTTTCGATGGAGGCCTTGCTGAACTCAAAATTGCTATTATAATACTAGTAACGTGTCCGACCATTGATGTGCCGATTGTCCATTGATGTGCCGACTTATTTATCCAATCAAACCCTAAATCGATTTTCATTTGACAAAATGCAACCTCTAGACAAATGATACCTGTATAAATTCATGCTAATGACCCTAACATTTGTGTTTAAAAGTACTCCTATACATGATCCTGTTCGAATTGTATAAACCTTTATAAAATGGTAATCGTATGTTGTTGACATTGGTTGAACCTTTCGTTTTCAATACATAACTCAAGTATAAAAAATCGGCACACCAATGGTCGCCCTGTGTAAAGTACTCGACTTCAAAAATTAATTGTGCAATCCTAAACTGTTTAAATCGATTTACTTTGGGCTCATTCGAAAGAGCACAACGTTATCCATCCAAAAATGTATGTACAGTCAGTTCAAGGGAGGATTCGAAAAAACAACTGAAATATTCGAAAATGAAAATGAAGAAAAATTGGCACATCAATGGTCGGCCATGTTAGTGTTTTAAAATCACAGGACATAACTGAGTTCGTTTGACTTGAGATGGTACAGTTAGACCATTAGTTTTAATGCAAATTGCATTTGAACATTAAAAATATTGATAGGCTGAAAGTGGTTCTGAGCCACTTTATCCGCATTAATGCTAGTGAATCACTTTATCCGCATTAATGCTAGTGAATTATTGCTTATCCGAAAAATAATCTATAGTACTCTTCAATTACCTCACCATTTTGCAAAATTGGCCGCTTGCGCCGAATTGGCTTCCTTGTATCTTCCGACGACTTGAGCTTGCGCTCAATCGTTTCACGACGACGTTCTTGAGGTTTCTTCTTTGCATGCGCTGTTGCTGCATGCATATTTTTGGGCCAACATCTTCTTGTTGACTTTGAATTCTGCTTCGCCTTCCATCTTCTTGGTCTCCTTTTCCGCCACCTTCGTCGCGATTTCTTCGGAGGTCATAAGGCAGCCACCGTGAACCCATTCGTCTTCGCTTTTGGGGGCACTTGTTTGCTCCGTGGATGCTTGGATCAGGCTGGCATTGATGCACATGGCCCTGGCAACATCAATGTCAATCCCTTGAGTGCGCAGAATGTACAATAACTATTGTTTCAACTTGTACCGTCACTTGCATCTTTGTCCGTGGGGTTTGGCGCCAGGCTTGTCCCCAAGTATCTTGGATGTCATGACATCGAGCGACAACGGGTAAGTTCCTGTCTTCTCGAACCCACTGACAATGAAGGTTCTTGTAAGACATTCGGCTAGCTCAGTCGATGCCACAGCCACCTTGTCACTCGTCACGGCAAAACCGAAAATTCTCCACACGAAAACGGACCTACTCAATGTCCTGAAGACGTTAGAAATGGCAAAGCACTGAGACGTCCAGCGGCTGCAAGAAGTGGGAGGCAAAGCATACAGCAGGATGCCCATCGACCATAAAAAGGCAATCGTGCTGGCCAATCAGTATGCTTTGTACCCATCCATAAGCACGAGGACAGGGCATTTGGGGCCGAGTTGTTGTACCAACCATTCAAAGTATTGGATGAACAACTTTGTCGACAAGAACGATGACTTGGTGGCCGCAAAGTTGGACCCAGCGAGGCCACAATCATCTGTTTGCACACGTTGGCGCCGGGCAGGACAAAGAACGGGGCAACATGGCCATTACCAGCATTGACACACACCAGGATGGAAACGTTTTTTCTGCGTCGGACGTTTGGGCATTCGCTGCATTCCCTTGGTTGCCATGACCTTTGACTTGTTGCGAGACCCTTGGGCGCACGTGCCGGATCCATCCAGGTTCCAGATGCAGTCAGGGTCAAAACTGTACTCCAGAGTCCATGGCCTGGGCGCTTCTGGTCGATAAATTGAAGGGAAGGTGTCGGGTACATGGCGCTCATGCTGGCTGTTCTCAATGCACACGAATAAAGTTGACGAGCTCGTCACGGGTGAAACATTGGGCGTGCAGTGTGCGCTCGTTGACGGCCTCAATGATTCCACGGACTTCACCATCGGTCAGAATGGGGTCAGGTCCATTGCGCGAGTGAGACTGAACCGTGCCGTTGACACGTCGTTGCAGCATCAGGCACTAGTAAAGATAAGCCCCCGGTCCCAATTAAAATAAATACCGGTTCCGAGTGTAACAAATTCAAGTAATAGTGTATCCGTACTTAATCCGGATAAGTACATATACATCCGGATAAAAGGCACTTTGACCGCCAAAAACTCCCACCAAAAAGTACTCAAGTCAAGTTTTGCCCCCACTTTCAAACTTTCCGCGATGGAGGAAGCCCAGCGCGTCGCACAGTACGACAAGTCAAACACCACGCAGTTCAAGTTCAGCACCGTCATGGCCGCCACGTGTGACGAAGCTGCTTGCACTGCGTGGTGTATGCAGGTCGGGCTTATCAAATAGAAGATGCTGTGTCCGTCGTGTGCAAAGGACATGACCTTGAGCGGGACAAGGTGGCAATGCCGTCGTGCTGGCAGCGGTTCGATCGAGCGCAGCATGAAGGTTGGATCGTTCGAAGAACGATCCAAACTTCCATTGTCCAAGGCGGTGCGGCTGATGTACGCATGGGCCTCGCGCAATCCGGTTACGGTCGCCGCTCGCGAGACGGAAGTCTCAAAAGTTGCCGCGATTGACATTTATAATTTTTGTCGAGGCATTTGCTCTAACGAGATGTAGTCCAGCGCTATGATGGTATGTCGAATTAGATAGTTTTCATTTATGTTATAAATATATCCGCGGTTGTTGTATTATTCTATATGTATTTCTATAATTAACACATCCAACGTGTCGAATCGCATAATACTTACGTATGTTATTGATATATAAAGGTTGTCGTGTTGTAGAATTTGTATGTCTGTATCTAAGGTTATCGAATTATATAATACTAATTCCTGCAATTGATATATTGAAGGTTAAATTGTGTAATGTGTATTTCTGTAATTAATGTATCCAAGGTTGTCGATTTATATGATATATATTTCTGTATTTAATACAGCCAAGGTTGTCGAATTATATGATATTTATTCCTGTAATTAATGTATCCAAGGTTATCGAAATTAATGATATTTATTTCTGTATTTAATATATCCAAGGTTGGCGGTGTAGGCTCGGTCGTTGAAATCGACGAGACATCACTCAAAAAAAAAATCCAAATACAACCGCGGAGCCCAACACCCAGATGTTTGGTTGTTTGGCGGCGTGGACAGAACAACGGGCAAGTGGTTCGGTCGCCTTACGTTCAGGAACGTACGAAACCAACTTTGTCTGCCATGATCGGGCAGCATATCCGACCAGGTACTCTGATCATGTCAGACAAATTTGGTTCGTACGTGTCGTCGGATGAACGACACACATTGTCTAACAACCCATAACTTGCCGACAAGAACTATGGCCATCATTGGGTCAACCATTCGGAAAACTTCGTGGATCCAGCGACCGGCGCACACACCCAGACAATCGAGGGTGTGTGGGAAGTTCGCGTCAAGCGCTTTCTGAAAACAATGCGTGGAATTCGAAAGAAGTACCTCCCCGCCTATCTGGACGAGTTTATGTGGTGCACTTGGTTTTTCCGACCGCAAGCGGACGAAAAGATGTTTTTCACCGGCTTAGTTCACGGAATTGGAAAAAAGTATAACTAATAATACTAAGTACTTTTGGCCTTTGACTTTTTGGTTACGACACTATTACTTGAATTTGTTACACTCGGAACCGGTATTTAATCTAATTGGGACCGGGGGCTTATCTTTACTAGTGCCCAGCATCATACGACCAAGGCCAAAGAGCAGTGACAACTTGGTGCCACTAACCTTATTGGTTTATATTTAGCCAATCAACATCATACAGTATCTCTGAAATATGATAAAACTCTCAATGACTGATGAAATGGTACGCTCGAAAGTTGTGCAATTAGCCCGCGAAAGCATTCATTCCCATGTGCGAATGGAGGACTACCAAAACCTACGCAATTCGCAATTTCGCATCCGGATAACCCAATATTTTTAATCACGACGTCTCTCGAACACGCTGTGTTTTGATAAGGCAGGCTACCAAAACCTTCACAATTCACTATTTCACTTCAATATAATTGGATGAAATAAATATAACGTTACATTCCAATTGGCTAAAAATATTCAGTGGATGTAAGCATGTCGGCCTCTCTCGCCGCGGCACTGGGCACGCCGGCAAATGACCCGTCGATTCATGCGTGCCCTACGAATCCGCGGTTCACTGAGGGAACGCAACTATGTTCGCACGGTATCCCTCGTGACGTACCAAGAAGACACACCATTGTACACAATGTATGCCACCAGGGACTCGCCATCGTTCATCTCGACGGTATCATTGACACCAGACGCCTTCGACATCCTCGTTACTCAGTTCAAGAAGCATTATGTTGTCAAGTCTCTCCCCTACCGCAGTGGGCGCCCACCACGGTTCCAAATGTTTCGGCCAGCAGGAAGGTGCTCTTCTACAAGGTCCAGCAGCAAGGACACGGATCCAGCGCACCATTCGAGCCCTCTACCTCTAGACATATTGGAGAATAGCTTCTCCATCACATCACATAAAACGAGTGGATAGAAATTAAAGCGCGTATGTCCACTTGTTTTAGGAATCCTAAAATTCTATATCTGTTTGTAGAGTGCAAAATACTACAGACCTGTAGTATTTTGCTGAGACCGTATTGACCTATCCGCAATTTGCTACCAGTATTTTTAATCGGAAAATGTCGCATTTGCTACAAGTAGCAAAATAATATGCGGAGGTTTTGGTAGTCCCCCCCAATGACACCTCAATTGCCAAACATTGTTGTCGCGCCTATCCCCCCATCCCCTCACACGACACCGTAGCCACGGCCAGACATGGAACTCGATTACCGCACTCGAATCAACGACCCACACTCCAACTAGATGTCCACCTGAGCAGCTGCTGCGGAACTCGGGCCATACTTATAGATTACTACTAGTATTTGTTGAATATCAGTGTTAATTCAACCTTATCCGTAAATTATTCCGGATGAATCCCATACAAAGTTTCATATTGACTTACAAGGTAAGACATCAGTAGTGACGCTTGCATTAGGTCACGAATGAGCGGCCAGCATCGTCTGTAGATGTATCTTGAGTGATCTGCATGACATAGGCCTATATTATTCAGGGATTGGCTGCTCTCCGTTTGACAGTCGTCAGTGTCACGTGATGTCATAGCTAGCGATAGTTCATTAAGTTGGTGCGATGAAGCAGAGGCTTGTGTTCACTTTGGAATTGCCCTTTAACTGAGCACCTTAATATCAACCCATTTCAACCCCACCAGTGTGTTGCCCGCGTTCATCTTAAGACTTCAAGTATGAACTCCGACAAGTCCGACATCCAACGCCTCGTATTCAGTGGCAAGCGTGAGGACTTCCAAACCTGGATAGACGCCTTCCGTGGTGAGCTGCAGAAGCGCTGGCTTAAGGCCCGCATTGACGCCCAAAACGCCAAGCGTGCCTTGTGTGACGTGTCCTACGAGTCGTGGCTTACTGCTGTGCCGGATGCGCTACCGGATACCTTAACGGAAGAATCCCTAAAGGAGGCCACCCTCCTTAGGGACTTACAAAACGTGAAGATTCGCCCACTTTTGTCAAAAACCCTACCGAAGAGCTACCTTAACCAGCTCGACGTGTCCCTATTACCCAGCCGTTACCGTCACCGAGATCTGGCGCATGCTCGAACGCGATTTTGGGGAGTCGAGCGAGGCTGGTGTCATTGGCCTCCTCACTAAGTTCGTCGGCACCCTTACGTCCGACTACCGCCATGTGGATGACCACTTTAAGGCAATGAGTGCCCTACGGGGCTCTTATCGGTTTTACCCCCCCGCAAGACTATACACCATATATAGATTCAAGTTAAACGAGTTTTATCGCGTGTCGAAGAAATTAGTGTGCGAGCAAGTCTTTTTAGTGTAGGACGAGCACTATAAGCATTTGTGGCCACCAGAAAATCCGGATAAAGTAATGGTTTACCGGATTTTTTTCGCACCTCCACGAATTCACTGGAACTTCACTTCCAGAATGTCGTCGCATACTACTATATACACTAGACCTTAGTAACAGTAAGTGCGTTCATGATATGAGACAAATCGCAATTGTAAAGAACCATACAGAATTCCAATATAACTCATCACTTGGTGATAGACTTAAGTACTGATCAATTACATGGTGTCTGATTTGATGTATGCTCACATTCCACTTGACTAGGTGATTAATTGAGCATTGCACTTGCTGATTCTTCATGCCTTTGCTTGACGATTTACCAAGCCCTCTAAAATGTTATCCAGTCTTGTGCTCGTTTCGTGTCAAAGCAATGCAAATCACAACGATAGACCAGTCGTACTGGA